AAGAGCGTCTTGGAGGATACTCTCTTCGATCGAGCAGAAGGAAGATGCAAAGGGAAACGAGCAGAATGTGAAGAGGATCAGCGATTACAGGCAAAGGGTCGAACACGAACTCTCCAAGATCTGCAATGACATTTTGGCTGTCATCGATAAGCATCTCATCCCGTCCGCTACCTCTGGAGAGTCCACCGTTTTCTACTACAAGATGTGAGCCCTCACCCCTTTCTTGTGATTGGTTTAGTACAACATATGGAATTGTTTTATCAGATCTAGTCATTCAATGGGCTGTGTTTTGCCTTTTGGACAGGAAAGGAGATTACTTCCGCTACTTGGCAGAGTTTAAATCTGGCGATGATCGTAAGGAGGCTGCCGATCAATCACTCAAAGCCTACGAGGTGTGCTCTTCGTTTCCGATTTCTGACTTTTCTCTGAAACTTTTAATGATTTGAAGGAACGAAACAATTCTCATCGACAAATCTCTACGGTTTCATTCCATAGGCTGCATCCACTACTGCCAACTCTGATCTGGCTCCCACTCATCCAATCAGACTCGGCCTCGCTCTCAACTTCTCTGTTTTCTATTACGAAATCCTGAACTCCCCAGAACGGTTCTGCCCTCCGGAAACGATACCTTTTTTTTTTGTCTTTCTGTATTCTGTGGTATCAAGTGATGAAATGTTGAACTCTGAACCAATGTTGCTCGTCGTCCATTTCTTGGCACTTTCAGAGCGTGCCACTTGGCAAAGCAAGCGTTTGACGAGGCCATTGCCGAGCTCGACAGCCTTAACGAGGAGTCTTACAAAGACAGCACCCTTATCATGCAGCTTCTAAGGGATAATCTCACATTGTGGACCTCAGATCTTCCAGAGGAAGGAGGTAAGATAACACTGTATCTCCAAGACTTGATTGTAATCTGGCCACTAGCTCTAAAGCTTAAACCTTTGTCTATTTTTTTCCCTCTTACAGGTGAACAATCTAAAGGCAATGAGCCTCAACCCGAGGTAACCCGATCGAGGGGAAAAGCCCTAACCCTTTTTAGTTTCTTCGCGTTTTTCTTCTCTCGACATACAGAATGGGATTTATGGTTTAGTTATCGTTCTAACCCTGCAGAGCTGATGATGGGCAAGTGCGGTGCAAGGAGCTGATCGTTCAAGGCGAATTCAGAGAATCCGAATCCAGACCTTGCGTGCTCTGCCAAGGCATTGGCAGATGGGAACGAGTGGCTCGTGCTTCGGTTCCTTTAGCATCGCTGAAGAATTTTATCATCATTTGTACTCTTTTCTTCTATCGTGTTTCTGTTTCTCCTTCAAGTTTGGATCTGGAAAACTTCTGTTACCATGTCATATGGGTTTCTGTTATTACCAAGAAATTGCTTTCCATCAGTGAAAATTGTGATATATCATGTTTCGACACGAGCCAGGTTTATTACCAGAGCCAAAGTACAGACTATACAACAAAGGCTATGTTTCTGTATATGATTACAAGATGGAAACATATAAAATGTATATCAGATCTGCTTTCCGGGGCCAGTTCTTCAGCTCCATAACCGGATAAATGCATTAAACCAAACCAAAGGTATCCTGATTTTCCAACCGGTTTAGCTGGGGATAAAGCCCTGTAATATCCCCCGTCTTCTGCTCTTCTAATCCCCTCTGGTTTTGCCCTTCACCTGTAAACCAAACAGTCCAAACCAGAAACTTTAGAACTCGGCTTTGATTAGACCGGTGTCATTGGGTTAATCTATAGAAATTTTAATTGGAATTTTCTGAAAGAAGAAAATTTTTAACTGGATTCTTGCTGAGAAACCAGAACTTGGCATTCAAATAACATACCCGGTTTGAGAAAGCCGTCTCCAGTTCAGTATTTGCTGGTGGTTCTGCAAGTAGCTAGATGTTGTGCTTCCTGCAATTCCATTTTCTTCACCAGAGAACTGTTCTGAGTAACCTGGAGACCAGACTGGGACCACTACCCCGTCCCTCTCTCTTCTGCCGCTGCTCGAAGATTCAGCCGTTGAATCTTCTTCTGCGTTCTCCACCGTTATTCTGATATTGAATTCTGGCATAGCAGACACCTGGTTCGGTGCTGGTTCAACTCTTGGCTGTTGGATCTGATTAATGTCCATGTTCCTTGGAACTTCTGCTCTGTTGTCTCCTGCAGAGTTTCTCAACTCGACATAAGACTCTTCCTCTTCCTCAAGTCTGATCAAAGAAGAAGTAATACTTGGAACCATCTGATCCTCGTACCGTCTGGTAGGTGCAGCAGCAGGGTTGTGTCTAGTTGGTTCTTGGATTTCTTGAGGCTCTTCCATTGTAATGTCCCGAGGGAATGCAATAGGAGCTGGTTCCAAGTCGGAAGAATCGCCCAGTCCTTCTTCTGTCCCGTTTTCCATCACGGCTCTCGAAACAGCTTCTAGCTGCCACATCCGTGAAAGCGCTTCATGCAGCCGGGCTTTTGCTTCATCTATTCCCACAATGGGTCGTGGATAGTTTGATCCTAGTTCGATACCGGCAGCTTGGAGCACAGATTCGGGAGCATTCCATGGATGGTGTATCCATTCTGTGGGGAGTCTAGAAAGTTCCGGAAGCCATCGCCTCACGTATTCCCCGTGCGGGTCAAATTTATACCCTTCAAACTGTGGATTATCTATACGATCAAACTCACGACTATCCGGGAGAGTACCGGTAATGTATTGCCAGCCAAGGGCATCACTTTCTAAATCTGCATCCAGAAGGGTGTCCCAAAAGTACTTCATTCCCCATCGCCATGGTAACTGAAGCACTTTCACAAAGAAGCTTGAAACAACTACTCTAATACGATCATGCAACCAACCGGTAGCCCATAGCTCTCTCATCCCAGCGTCGACCAATGGATAGCCTGTTCGGCCTTGTCTCCATGCCTTGAAATAGTTCTCATCCACAACCCATGGGAAGAACTTTAGATGGCCGAGAAGCGGCCTTTCGTGGGAATATGGATGGTTAAAGCTCATGTATCTAGAATATTCCCTGAGACCAATTGATTTGAGGAAAAGGTTCACGCTTTCTTCTCCGGGCTTGTTTCCTTCGTTTGCCCATGAGACCTGTTTGATTCGAACAAGATGGAAAACCTTTCTCACACTCACTTCCCCAAAATGCAAGTGGGGAGAAAGAAATGAGGTTGTGGCACTATCGGCTTTTCTACGGTTCTTGGAGTATTCAATCAATGGCCCATTTATGAATGTCATTAGTGCTTTGTCAGCATTGCTCCAGCCCGGTGACCATGCTCGAGCTAGAAGGGCATTGCTTCCTTTCTCTGATTCGTCTTCGAATACCAATGTGTCTGAAGGACAACTAGACACATCACCTACAACATTAAGAGAATTAAAACGGATCATGAAGATTCGTTTTCAGCTTCAGAGAAGCAGGAAGGAAGAACATGGCCACAAACAAACCTGAAATGATCCTCTTGGGTGGGAGAAGAGGCGCTTCGGGATCATAAGGCATGCTAAGGCATCTGTCCCAAAAGGCAGCAAATGTCGTGAAGGGAAGGCCTTGTGAATCATTCACCTCCCAAGGCTCGTAAAGCAAATCCGCATTATACGATCGGACGACTATTCCTTGCGCTGTCAGGACCTCCTTAGCACGATGATCACGAACAAGCGACAAAGGATCTGAACGACAGACGTTGAAATGCTCAGAGTGGATACAGTTGGCCATATATACAAGAAACAGAACATATGTTCCGAGAAATTGCTATACATGAGCAAAGGTTGCGGTCTCAGACCCTCTGATCTCATATACATGATGCTAAAACACAAAGATATTGGTCATCACAGGGCAAGAGAAACATTACTGACTCCATTAAGGCCAAAATCAAGTCTAACCCAGAAGAGCACAGAACATTTATATCATAAAAAAGCCATCTTTTATATGACCCATGAAACCAAATAGCATTAACACAATTCGAATCGCAAAGAAAACGCAAAGCACAGAAGGAAAAAAAAACAAGAGAAGGGATGGAAGAACAAGAACAGACCATACAAGTGGTTGAAGAAGATCTGAGAAGCACCAGTGGCTTTAACGACCTCAAGGAGGGAAGCGACACTGTCAGTGGATCTCTTGGTGACGAGACGAGTGCCAAGGCTCCTAAGAGAGGAATCGAGCTGAGCCAAGCTGTTCTTCAGCCACCATCTCGAAACCCTTCCTGGGTAATAGTGACCTTCTTCTTCAGGAGCCCAGACGAAGACCGCGATTACAGGACCTGCTCTTACACCAGCTGCTAATGCCGGATTATCTTCAACCCTAAGATCTCTCCTGAACCATACAACACTACACCCACCACCACCACCACCACCACCACTGTTCGACATCTCTGAAACTGAAACCATCCTCGACGATGTGAAATACCCAATTCGAAAAGAAATCCGTATTACTCAGAATCAAAACCCTTTAGCGGCTTATTTCTCTCTGTTTTAGCAGAAGGAAGCCCCCCAAAAAAAGGAGAGATTTTTTAGTAAGCGTTTGATGGGGGAAAGATCTTATCTTCTACAATAGCTTTTCCCCTTCTCTCTGCCTCTCTGGAAATGGAACCGCACTCGTGGGAATTATTCACTCAAAAGAATGAGAATTTCGGACAAATTGCAAAAAGCAATAAACATTTTCGTACATTTATTTATTTATTCCCCCCATTTTTCTTATTTATTGCATTCAAACTACATACATACACTTCCTTCGGCTTTCTCGAGAGATTCTCTTCTAAGCCCAGAAATCAAAAAGCTTGAAGCTTTTAGAAAGAACCAAAAAAAAAAAAGAACGGAGCTTGGATAGAGCCAGTGGGAGGAGGATTCAATTCACACGATGAGATTGATTGGAAAATTTTCCACCACAACTTTTTTTTTGTTGGCTTTTGTCTGTATTTTCTTATTTTTTTTCCCCTTAGTATTATCCAATGCAAATGCCACAAAACAACATTCCCTCACACCATTTCTAGATCCATCTACTTATTATTTTTAGATTTTAAAACATTTATGCCTATTATATTGGATTATAACTTTATTTCAAATTCGCTTCAAATTAGTTTTTATTGGTCAAATGTAAAAAATTTATAATTTTCAGATTATTTTTATTGAATTTGGATATAATTATATAAAAATATTTATTCCATTTGAGTTTAAAAAAAAAAACTCAGACCCTTGGCCCAGCTTCCAAATTTCTCGAATACAATCACATAATTTGAGAAATTATGCATAACTTGTACTCATAAAAAAATGAAATAAATTAGTAGGATTATATATTTGGTTTAAGCGAGATATTCACAACCCCGTGGATAGTTTACCTTTTTAATTTTAGGTTTTTGGGTGTTGGCAATAAGGAATGAAGATGATACAAATATTATATTAGGTATCCAAATTTGGATAAACAGCACAACATTTGTTTTGCCTTGAATTTAAAATTTAAATTTGGAGTGATATATATTTCAAATCATATGGCTGTATTTGGGTGTCGAATTGACCCAAAACAAAAAATATTATATTGGGGTATGTGATTCCGAAATTTTATTGGAAGTTTTAGATATGGGAGAGGAGATATATTAGCAAAGTGATGGGGATGTGTCTGTGTGCTCACCCCTTTACCTTTTGCCATTTAAAAGCCTTTTCTCTCTTTTTCTAAATATTTTTTAAAATTATTCCATAATTTGAATTCAAAATCAGACTTATAATTTGAGATTATTTATAAGTCGGAATTCGGATTCCGTGATTCGAATATTCAAGATATTTGTTTGATAATTATAAAAATATTATTTGCATTTATTAAATCTTTTAAAATTACAAATTTTAACACGATGTTTTTTATTTTATATAGTAAAAAAACTATTGTTTAATTTTTGCAATATATGAGTTTGGAACTTCGATTATCATTATATTTGAATTTATAATTGATCACAATAACAATAATGATTAATAGTTCGATTCTACGTTATTTCACGTGGTTGAACTGTTATTTTTAATTTTTTTTAAAATGCAAAAATTCGTTCGGAATAATAATTACCCCAAAAATTGTGCATCTTTTCCTGTTTTGGGTGTTGCCATAATCAATGAAGTAATAAATAAGTGTTTCTTATCACTAAAACATTCTCTCACACCAGCAGCGGTCGGTTTCATTGCACCTCTGTTTCAATCTAATTTTTATTTCGATGATTCAATCTCCCATTTCATTTGATTTTTTTTTATCAAACTTGGTTTATTTTTTAGTTTGATTCGAATTCGATTTAACGAATATTTCTATTCTAAATATATTTTTTATTTTCATTCAATTTTTTCTGACTATCTTTATACAACATTTAAATTCGATGAATTCGGTTACCGAAAGTTATATATAATCTTTTTTTATAGAGTATAATTTTATACATAATATATTATTGGTTTGTTTCGATTTGGTTATATATATTTTTATGGGATAAAGTAGGGTCATTAGAGAGAGAAAAAAATGTAATTTGTAATTTTTGTATCCCGAAATGTAAGATGAGAGGGATCCATGTAATTTTATGGCACATACATACATCTAAATCTATAGTTCTATACCCACAAAATCCATATGCCGAAATGCCAAATAGTCTCTACCAAGAAAATTCCAAATCAGATGAATGGTGCATGTCCACATTTATCGCATCCATTTTCATTTATACACGTCAATATAATCATATGTTACACTAAATATTCGATACGTAATTAAAATCTATGAAATCAATTGATATATGCAAATATATAAAAAAATATTGTAATATAATGGAAAAAATTGGATACGCGAAATTTAAAAGCAATACACAGCTGTTTGACCTACACTGCAGAGAAGACACTATTTGTGGCGAGGGACATTACCATTTTATGGCCGAGCAATATTTCGGCAGTCGAGGGTCTATTTATACTTGATAAGTGGCCCTAACCATGTCCAATCGTTTAACCAAAATAGAGACGTTCGGTCATTTTCGATCTAAACCCGCGAGTAGTTTTCTCGATGAACAACATTACCGTGGAGGGGCATCCCTAAATCCTTTTCGTTTAATCCACCCGGAGTGATCCAAATTCTTGAACATGAGTTAGATCAATTTAATTTTAGTCGGAATTTAAATTCGATGTGTTTCATCAACGGACGAAACACATCGAATTTCGGTGGATCTCTTTCGACGTTTTTTTATCCAAGATGAGAATACTCAACCTCTAGAGTCTCTGAGTTTATTGGTTTGGGTTGCTCATAGACTTGCAGCCATTTATTTCCAAGATTAGTAGTATTTAAATATTCAGTATTATATTATTCCATGGCTAATGGCTATGTATTTATATCAATTATACCGAACATCATTACAATGTTATTGAAACAGCTAAAAGTCCGTACGATTTCTTATCCTCCTTGAATCTCCCTAAGCTCATTATAAGGTTTTATCGACCTTCGTAAAGTTATTGTAAGTTGTACGATTAATATATATATATATATATATATTATTTGAAAGGAAATATACAATTATATATATTATTAACAATGGCGGGAGAGATTAGGTAATGATATTAATTAAGAAGAAACTAAGCACCTAATCCCAGTGACCACGTGAAAAGTGGTCCTATTTTATTATCGGGGCATGAATAAATAAAATGAAAAAAAAAAACTAGCTTCACCTTTTCTTTGTATGTGAGTTAATTCGGGTTTTTTTACACTACACTTGAGAGAGATAATTAGTGTCTTACTAAATATAATACATTTTGTTTACTGGATTAATCAAAATTATCTTTTACAGAGCCATATCTTATAGATTTATCCCTTCTTATACTATAAAAATTGAATTTTTAAAATTTACACATATAATTAAAAAAATAAGAAAAACTAATATATAAATTCTTCAATTTGTTCTTGATTTCCAACTTAATATGTAAGCGTTATTTATTTTTATAATAACATACCAAATCGAATACATTCTATTTTAAACAAGGAGTTTTTTGACATTTTAACGACATTGTTAACACCAAGTCGTTTTTCCTCTCGATTTTGATTGTTAGTTATCATCAATCCATTATAAAACTTTGAAATTCATGGTTTAATATGGAATTTAATACGATTTAGTGTATTATTATAGAAAAAAATAATATGAAAGTTATAATAAATTGAAGGGTTTATATGGTCCCCGGCCTACGAATTGTTTTTTTTTTTTGGTTAAAACGGCCTACGAATTGTTACACATTAATTTGGAATCATTTTTTTCTGAGATAGTATACATTTAAATCACGAAGCCGGAATTAATCAATGGACTAATTTCAAGATATTAAGTACCCTTAGCCAAGTGTGGGTAACTATCATATCAAACTTCCCACGTGGGTACATTGTATTTATTTCCGTCTTTAAATGACAATATATGTATTATTCTATCTGTCAAAATCAGTTAATTTATTGATTCAATTATCCGATTAATTAAATGGTATAAAATAATCAGTTAATTTCGGATTACTATCTGTCAAAATCGTGAAAGAAAATGAAGAAATGTTGTCTAACCACCCAGCCAGGAAACTCGATGCCTCTTTCAAAGTAGTTGCTGAGTATATTGTTTTTTTCTAGAAACCTCATATAATCATATTATATATATATATATATGTGTGTGTATTTGTATATATATATATTCATGCAGAATCGCATACACACACCTTTTTGCAATATGATTATATATTAGCTTAATTAACAATATAATTATATATGTTATGACCTTATTAAAAATCTTTAAATTTAATTCAAACGCAACATTCATGTTTCGCCCAAGACGTTGTCCAATTTACATCTACTATATACTACAATTGACGAAAGATTATATATATATATATATATATATATATATATATTACAAGAATAAGTTGTTTAATTATCGTTATTAGTGGTATATACGGAAATATTACCGTGACAATAATCATGACCAGATCCACAAAATTATGATAACAAAGCTAAGAATTGAAATGAAAATATATACAATGCATTTCGAGAAAATTAAATTTCATAAAATTTATATAAAAAAAATTCTGAAAAATTATGTCTAAACAAACTAAAATATATGGAATTGGGGTTTAGACAAAATGAACTAAAATATACATTAAACTCAAAGTCATGTACAGATGTATTACAACAAATCATTAACATATATATCGTGACTAATTTACACATATAAATGTAAACAGAAATGCACGTATACGCAGACCACACTTTTACAACAAGAAAATAAACAAAAATCTATATTTTAAAAGGAAAAAAAAAAAACTCAGCGGCATGCTAATCAGATTCCCACTTGCATAATTAGTATACGTATACGCACATACGAGACGTATAAAATATTATGGCAAAGGCTAAGAAATATCGTGGATGAGATTTTCATCGAAATAAAAGTCCGGCCAATAGGGCGACCCTCCGCCGCCGTAGCTCGAGCTGCTACTCGCCTCTCCGGCCGCCGGATTGTTGTTGCTCAACGACGAATCGCTTATCATGTTACGATGATGAGGAAGAGAGGTAGTGATGGTGTCATTAGGGTTGTGGTTTATAAGAGAAGGAAGAACCCATGATGATGGATCATCATGATGGCGATGGTGATCATCATCATGAGATGGGTGTTTGACCACGGCGTCGAATGGTACGGGCATTTGGTTTATCAAGTGATCGTCGTCGCTATTCAAAGAAGTTTGTAGACTGAAAGGGACGTGTAGAAGAAGTGGGTCACCTTGTGATAGTTCATTGGGGGGAGGAGTGTTGTCCATAGAATATTGTTGTTGGAGTGGTTGAGTGGTTGGATTAGTGGTGGTTCCGAATGAAAATAAATCTTGATTTTGATCGATAACCTCGATCTGGGTCGGGTTAAGACATGGGTTTTGGTCTTTGTCCCAAGAAACCATGGAGTTCAAGAGATTCATGGCATGGTGGTGATCGATGTCGAGGATATTGGTCGGACTGTTACCGCTGATGTTACCGTTTAGGGAGGCCGAGGCCTGAAGGAGGCATTGGAGGTATTGGAACTTGGCTAGTTGAGTGGCTTCGGCTTGAATGGACGAGTATTGTGATGTTTGTTCCATGAGGTCTTTTAGGTTGGCTAAGGCTATGAGCTGAGGTAAGCTTGAAAATATGTCGGTTCTCGGCTGATGAGTCGTCGGATCGATGCCCATTTGGATCAACTTCTTCTTCAGATGGGTGTTCCAAAAGTTCTTGATCTCGTTGTCCGTACGTCCCGGCAAATGCGTGGCGATAGCCGACCATCTGCATGATAGAAATAAGCATTTGAAACGTTTATCGACATAGTATATATATCCATAAATTAAAACCAGTAATAAGATAAATAAAATGATAATTGATAATACCACAAAATCTATCGTTTCGTTTCGAGTTTCGACTTTTGGAAGACAAGCAAGAAGGCATGATTGGAGCCACTTACTTGTTTCCAAGAATGGAATGGAGATGGAGAATGGTCTGTTCTTCCTCCGGAGAAAACTTGCCCCTCTTGATATCCGGCCTCAGATAGTTCGTCCATCTCAATCTACAACTCTTCCCGCATCGATTAAGACCTGAAAATACCGGTCCGAAAACAAAACCAAACGCTAAAAAAAGTTTATATTTTTCGTCCAACCAATTTTGTTTTTTAAAAAATGAATTTAATCATCAAGGAATTAACTAAACCTGCAAGCTTGGGGAGGGCCCTCCAGCTTCCATGGCCATGTTTCTGAATGTGCTCGACGAGCTTTTGGTCTTCTTCGGGAGTCCATGGCCCTTTCTTCAGACCATTCTCATCACAACAAGGAGATCTTCCCATCTCTCTCTCTTGTCTCTGTCTTTGTGTTCTTTCTCTCTCTAGGTTTAATTAGTTTTGTCTGATCTCACAACGAATACCAAGCTCGCGGTTAAGACTTGGTATTTATATACAGTTTTCGTGGAGAGACTTGAAAGTGAGAACAATAAAAAAAAAATTAATGATGATATATAATTCCTTCGCCCAACACTCTATTCCCTTTTTTTTAATTATATTTTGTTTGACTAGCGTGTTTATATATATATATATATATAGGTGTATGTAATTCCTACATATACACGATGAAGAATGTGTACATAAAAGTCCCTTGCCTCGAGAAAGTCTACGGCTACGACGTACATTCGTACGTCCGCTGACGTAATTTCCATGCAGGGGATGTTTTTTTTTTTTTTTTTTTGGTAATTGCAGGGGATGTGTTTTATCATTCGTATTGCCATTTCCAATATCTTGTTATATTATAATGATTGTTTTCTCCGAATATTGGAGCAGAAAATAACTACAGAATATGGCGATTTCATACACATTTTCACGCGTGAGCATTAATTAAAATATGGACCGGGGGGTTCATGTGTCAAGGCATAAAAGCCGTGGTAGTGTCTCCGTTCAGGTAATAATGTCTATCCAATGTTTCCCGGAGTTGGTGAAATCAGATAAATTGTTCTTTTATACGTTGAATATATATATATATATATATATATATATATATGTATTTACATGGATCGGCATTTAGGTTTCGATGATTTTTAAACTCTTTTGTCCTCTTCTAGCTGACCAAATCGCCATGATTAGTTCGGTATTGCATTGTTTTAATTTGTATATGTATCAGAGTATACTCACGAATACAATATATGTATATATATATATATATATCTGGAACTGATATAAACATTTCTTTTTTACTTCGATTCCAAAAAAAATTATTTAGAATGCTCAGATGTATGATGTATTTGCCTCTGTATACGTTGCTTGTGTTCCTAGTATTGTATACAATATCACTTTCGAATATCGAATTATCATTGTCTGGGCATGGTCACCTTCGTAAAAGTTAAAAAAAAATTCAAATGTAGAGAAAGTTCTCATACTATGAAAAGTTGCAAAACAATTATTATCATTATTATTGATAATAAGAAGATGAAAAATTGTAAAACAATTATTATTGTTATTAATAATAATAAGAATTTAAATATACAGCGTAATTAATTTAATTCTGGTAATTTTTAAATTTTCTAAAGAATATAACTTTTGACACAACAGAAAACCTAGACGTATAAACTCAATTTATAATTCTCAACGCATAAAAACATATGTATTTATATATAACTAATTAATTGTACTTTTCTAGGGTATTAATTCATGCCAAGAAAGGTTAATTATTCCAAATTGGACGAGTAAATTTGGTTGGTTATGTAACGTCCGTCCATACAAAGGGGGAGATTAGATTTTAATACAAGTTGGTTAATGGGGGAAAATTAAGGTGAAATTATTGGCGATGTTTATTGATAAAATATAAGTTTGGTCAAAAAAGCTGTAAAAGCCAAAGACAACAGATACGATCGAGGTCTACGTGGCAGCCTCCCTGGTTGGCCGAAGGAACCTTTCCCATGCACGCAAAAGTGACGATCACTGTTTTGTCGTTTTCTGCATGGCTTCTTACGTAACCCTCAAATCTTAACTAATACATCCTCTACGTACGGAGCGACAATTTGTATAATCCTTTCTGATTTTCGACTTAGTATACTCAACCAAAATGCATTCACACGTTTGTCCTTGAAATTTTATATTATGTCTAAAAAAAATTGGAGCACTAACATCCAAAAGGATTGTCCATATATATCACCTAAAACCCGTTCAATTTCTCAAACCATACAATATGAAAACCCAAAACGAGTAGAAAGTATAGTAATTTGTAAATGCCACGTAAATTTAATTTCTCAATCATTTTCAATGCATGAAAATTTCCGTTGTCTTGATGACAAGGTACAATGTTGACGTATTAATCAAAATATATGCTCATTACAATATATAATCTCAGTCTTGATGCACATGACGCATGACGTATGAATTCAGAGTCCAGAACGTGTATGTATATGTATATATGTAATAATGAGTAAGGGGGTAAACGTTGGAAATTGTGAGGGTTTTCAATTGGAATCAATGTAAACCGACGCTTTGTAAAAGTTTTGATAAAAATATCAAACATTATGTACATAGCACATCACTACAAGAAAAACTGTATATACCGACGGACTATGCGACGGAAATTCCGTCGCGCTAGATATTTGCGACGGACAACGACGGTAATGGGACGGATTTGCATCCGTCGTAACCCGTCGCTCAATCCGTCGAAACATTTCGACAACAACCGACGAATATTTCCGTCGGTAATTTTGTCAGACGGATTGCGACGGACTGCGACCGATATTTGCGACCGAACTTTCGTCGGAAAATTATGCGACGGAGTGGGACGGATATATTGCGTCGCACAAACATAGCGACGGATGGGGACAGACATTTCCGTCGGGACTGCGACGGATTCGGTGCGTCGCAGGTAGTTAAACACGTTTTATTCGTTTTGACCTAATTCCGTCGCATTCTGTTGTGCGTCCGTCGCAATATTGGAGTCCGTCGCATTTCCGTCGCATTTCCGTCGCACGTTCGAATCTATTTAACAGCCGCGGCATGTAGTCTCTTTACCAAAGAGAAAAAAAAATAGAAAGTGTCAAAAGAAAAATGTCGTTTTATTCTCGACAATGGATGTATGAAAGAATTGATTCTATTACGAATCAAAACTCAAAGCAATATGAAGAAGGGTTACAAAATTTTATGTTGTTTGCCACGTCAAATCAGTCGTATTTGGAGAGCGAAAAGCTGCCTTGTCCGTGTGTAAAGTGCCAGAATAAAAAATGGCGGAGTTTGAGTGAAGTGTGGAATCACTTATATCGTAAAGGTTTCATGCCGAATTATTTTGTTTGGCTTGCACATGGAGAAACCTATGATACATCATCATCACAAGATGTACATATGGTTGGATATGAAGAAATCAATAATACGACGTCGGAGATGACATTTGGAGAAGAAATAAGGAATCCATACACGGAAATGGTGAGTGATGCATTTCCCAACATTGTTCCATCGCCCCACATGGAGGAGGAACCCAACGTAGAAGCAAAAAGGTTTTATGGTATGCTTCATACGGCGAATACGGCGATATACGATGGATGCGTCGAAGGTCTTTCAAGGTTATCATTATCTTCACAGTTGATGAATATGAAGACAGATTATAATCTTCCAGAAAGGTGTATGGACGGTTTCACCCAGATGTTTAAACATTATCTCCCAGAAGGTAACACTGCACCTGAATCTTATTATGAAACTAAGAGTTTAATGCGGACGTTGGGTTTACCGTATCAGAAGATTGATGTGTGCGAGAACAACTGTATGATTTTCTGGAAAGACGATTCAGATCTGATGCAATGTCGGTTCTGTAACAAAGACAGATACCGACCACGACGGAAATCTTCAAAAAAAGGCAAGTTAATTCCTTTTAAAAGAATGTTTTATATGCCATTAACGGATCGATTAAAGCGGTTATATCAATCCGAGAAGACTGCATCACATATGCGCTGGCACGCGGAACCCCTGATCCACGCGGAACCCCTGATCCACTGCAGTTGGATCAACGTTTCACTGGCCAGGGTACTCCACAGGCTTCATTTGAGGCCGGAGGTTCCGGCCATCGCTCTGTTTATGCGGGGATCTCTCTTAGAGAGATCCTGGCATCAGAGAGTCGACGACAACAACCTTGTATCAATCCTGATTCGGTTGATGGAGCGTTGTGGTAAGTATATTCTAACACCACTTTCGTTTCCGATCAAAATCGTCCATCGTTCAACTTAATTAATGTTTTTGAATATCATAGGTTTGATCGGAATGATCAGTTGGTTGAGAGTATCAAAACGATCTACCGTTCTGATTATCATGGCCCATGGCGTAGCATCTCTCGGGTCCCGCAAGATGTCTTGGCACGATGGTTTGCTGCTTTTGCGGTATTGACAAATTACTTGTTCGTTTTTTGTTTAATATATCTTTTTTAGTAATTAATAACTAACACATATTGTTTAAAGCAATCTTATTACTGGGATCCTTCTGTGCATGATGTCGTCCATCGTGCGTGGAAGGATTGTCTCGGTGCGAGATTGCGAGATAACCTTTATAGGTTGAAATTCTTGCGGAAGAAGCCGGACTGGATTAGTTTAGACATCTGGGCGCAGCTCGAGGTAATATGGGATTCAGAGGAATCTCAAGAGAAGAGTCGGATCGCATCGACGAATCGAAAGGCGAAGTCTGCTTCCGACCGTGCCCCAGGAACTCACACTGCGGGGAGAAGATCGTTTGCTAAAGTTGCTCTCAATATTGTAAGTATTTTGTGAAAATTGATTTATTTGTTTTTAAATTTTACTAATATTTTTGTATAACTTGTTTAGGCCGAGAAAGAAGGCGTTCAACCGTCTGCTCTGCGTGTCTTACAAGACACGCATCGTCGATCGGATGGGACGTACGTAGATCATCGTGCCCAAGAAATTGAAGAGGCCATTCAATCGAAGATTACCGATCGAATGACGATGGACGAGAGCAGCGGTTCAACGCAATTGACTCCGCAGGAAATCAACAGCTTGTATCTCGAGGTAATTTTTATATTTTAAATAATATAACATGTTAGAGTTTAAATATTATTTACATATTGTTTTGAAGGTCGTTCCTCCCGATGCGAAAGGTCGGATTTACGGGATTGGTGCGTTGGCGAGTCAGCTCGGGGGTGGTGACGCATCTTCGTCGTCTGTGGTACGTCATGTATCTCTGACGCGTGAAGTCGAGGAGCTGAAGAGAAAACACGAGGAGACTTCTGCGGAACTTGTAGCTGCTCGGGAGAAGATTGCTCAGTTTGATGCAGCTCAGGCGAAGATCGCTCGGTTAGAGGAGATGATGCAACGTTTTATGCCTCCGACCGATTCCGCCGGTTCGTCTGCTCCGAGTCCCGCCGTCAATCCCGATCCAT